AACATATATATATTTTAATATAAGACAAGGAATAATGAAAAATATTACTTGATTTCTGATTATTTGTACTCGATTTTCAATTAATCTCATTTTACTTAACGTTGTTTCTTGTGGTGAATGACTAAACATTTAAAAAATATGTATTAGAAAAAAAAAGAATTATTTCCTGAACCATCAACTTACATTCGTTCTTCATCAAGATCCTGTTCTTCTGCTAGTTTTCTACCAATTTTTATATAATTATAATAAATTTCATCACCAAGTGCATCTTCAGCTATTTCAATATTACAAGCAGATTTTTCATCAAGCATAATTTCTATCAAGAAAATAAAATCAATATTAAAATGAAAACGAAACAACGAAAGAGTTTTGTTACCATATTTATTTCGACTTGTATGTTGAATATATGTTTCTCTAAGCCATGATGATTTACAACATGACGTTAAAGTATATAATGCAAATCGCCAAAGATGTGAAAAAAGAATAAATGGAGGTGGTATTGATGGTCGAGATAAATATTCGCATATTAATGAATATCGTTGAAATTTCCATATTCGATCTGTATCAGTTTGAAGACGATCAAAAGTATTACTAGGAAAATATTATAATTGGAAAAACGTGTTTATAAGATAAGTGATTAAGTTGATCATATGATTACATATTCATTGATTCGAATAACATATTCAACAAAATAAATATCAAATACTTCAAGTATTGAAATGAGTTTTGCAGAATTTTTTTAAAATAGATCTGGTAACAAGATCATTATGAATAGAGTCGAAATTCAGAGAAGAACAAATTTCGGAAGGAGTAAAACAGTGATTGTCTTCGAACAATTTTGCAAAAAATAGGTGTTTGTCCTTTTGGAGTTTTAAATTCTCTCTCTGAAAGAGAAAATCTGGATAAAACACTGATAACTTTTCGAGTTAGATAAATCATTTTATTTGTTGATTATCATAAATCACACTTGAAAATAAAATATGAACAATTTGGATTCCAAAAATCAGCAACATTATCTCTGCCTGTTC